CCAGGAAGAAAAAAAAAAAAACAAGAATGAAAAAAATATTCCAATTCCACCAATTTAAAAGAAAGGACCATCAGAAAGTCAAGCACAAAGAGCATCACTGAAAGTAAGGTCCATACAGGAAGAGTGAAACTGTGTCTAAATTACAGAGTAAACCGGTAGCTGCTACCAATGGTGATGTCATACTGAGCATGTATAGGTATAAAGTAGAATATAATATAGTTACAACTTTTTGATACTACATATCTGTAATAAGCTCTCGGGTGAATAATGTTTCAACCCCTTCCCCCCCCCCCACCCCCACTTTTATATATATATTATATATATAAGTTTGTCATCCTCATAAATTGGAAAATAGCGCCTCCACTATGGAGCACAGAAAAAGTGTTAATTTATTTTCTTTCAATAGGATACTTTTTTTTTCTTTTTCATCATCAATATCAAAGACAAAGTGAAGATGAGCTGAGAACAAGCCCAACTTCATGACAATGAAGAAACATGTTTTGCCTTTTGCTGTAAAGTCTCGTTTTTAAACCACAGTGTTGCACAGTACACGACTGCTTAAAGTGAAACCGAGCAAAAATACATCATGTAAAAGTAATTTCTTAAAAAAGTTAACACAGCTGTGCTGAAGAGTTAACTCTTTAAAGTCCTCCTCATCCATCCATCCATCCATCCATCCGGCTCCTCAGAATGAACGACTCCGTGTGTTGACACAAGGGTTGCATCCAACCTCCCCACCCAGCCGAGAAATTAAAGCAAAAACACCAACCCAAAGGAAAAAAATAATAATAACAATAATAATAATAATAATGACACAGGCAGTTTACTTGGTGTGTTCAGCGTAGTTTCCCTAAAAACACTGTTTCCACATAAATACAATAAACTCTATAATTGGTAAGTCACAAGTGCTAGATAAACGTCTTAGTTTTTTTCTTTTCTTCTTAAAATGAGAAATGTTTAAGTAGTCCTTTTTGTTTTTTATTTATTTACTCTTTTTAGCAATAAAAAGCACAATTTCTTCTTATTAAGTTCAGTAAGACTCCAAAAAAAAAAAAAATTCCCACTCTCCTTCCTGTGTAGCTGTGTGGGTGAGTGTGTGTGACAACAACATTCCAACCTTTAGTCTCCACAAATGCCACAAGAGGAAAAAAAAACCCAATATAAAACCAAACCAAAACAAAAACCAACCCAAAGAAACCCCAAACCACCTCTTTTTTTTGTTGTTTTTTTTTTTTTCCTCATTATTGTTTTCAAAGCTGCCACGTTTGGCGTGCAAAATCTGTATACAATATAAAGACATGCCAACCTTACAGACCATGCAACCTCAAGGTGTAGGAAACTTAAAAAAATATATTCATATATATTTATATATATATTTATATATATCAATGCCCGTAAAAGAACATGGGCCCAAAAAAGTTTACAAAAGGAAGAATGGAATGAGTACATGACCGTGACTAATAAAAAAAAGGAATGTTTTGTATCGAAAGTAAAAAAAAAAAACCAACAAAAACCCAAACAAACAAACAAATAAAAACAACCAAAAACCCCCCAATGGTTACTTGTGTACTGCAAATTGGGCCTCACTTCACTGTAAAGAGGATTGAAAGCTGTTCCTTTTCTTCCCAAGCAGGTACAAAGGATGCCCTGGGCAGCACGTACTGGGATGCAGGAGCATCCCGAGCTGCCCCGTGGCAAAGACATCTGAAATGAAGAATCTTAATAGCTCAAAATGGTGAAAAATCCCCAAAATCCCCCTGGAAAGCCTCAAAACGAGGGCTCACTACCTTCTCTCCGTGCCTGCATTGGCCCTGGAAAGCATCTCCAGGGAAGAGCATCCCCAGGGAAGGTCACAGCTCAGGGAAGAGCGTTCTCAGGGAAAAGGGGGATGCTGTGAAACAAATCCACATTGCCGGGAGTTTGGAGGAGACAAGCTCTGTCATCTCAGGAAAAATCTTCCCGTCCCGGCAAAAAGCTGAGGCAAAGGATGGAAAGGAAGGAAGGAAGGAAGGAAGGAAGGTGGCATTCTGACAAGCTCCTCCAGATTTTACAAAGGAATCAGCTCAGCATGGTTGGCCGGCGGCTCCCAGGAAAGCAAAAAGGAAGAAAAAAGCTTTGCCACAACCGGGAGCAGAAATGTCAAAAACCTTCCGGGGAAGAGCTGACAATACAAAGGGAGGTGTAAACACAGGCACTGCCCATGGCACAGGGAGCAAAACCCCATGTCAGTCACCAGATTTGGCAGTCAGATGGATTTGAGATCACAGCAGCAGTGTGGTTAGATGGAAGGAAACCCCAAACCACAACATCCCCAGGTACACAGTGCTCTCATGCAGGGGGATTTTAGGACATGCCAAGGACAGCCCTTGCCACTGGAGCTTTTTGGGGTTTTAGAATGTACTTGGGTTTGCAAACTCAAATATTGTAGTGTCTGGTTCTGAAACTGCACTAGAAACTGAGGAAGGAAACAAAAACCTCCAGTGTGGGGTCACGCTCCCAATTCCTCCCACGAACGAGTCCGGAAGAGAACGAAAGCAGCTGCTTTGAGAACTGGAAAGAAGAGAAGTTCCTGGAAGCAACCAAGCAGTCACTGTAGGAACAGCATAAAAGAAGGAAGGGTGGTTAAGGAGGAGAAGCTGTGCTGGGAACAGGGATGTGCAGTCCTACACTGCTGGAGGAGGGCACGCGCGGAGCGCCCTCTCCGCCAAGATGCTCCGCTCTCCGTGGCAGGGCTCATGGCCTCTCCCACCCAGCATTCCAGGGAGGAAACCACCTCCTCAGGGTTGGGGGGGAAGGGGGAGAAGCCTCCAAAACCCCTCCCAGTGCTGGGAAGAAGAAGAAGAGGGGAGAAAAAGGGAGAGAGGAGGTGGGAAGTTTGCGGGCATGTTCAGCAGAGAGAAAATGCCGGCGGTCCTGGAGTATCCAAGGAGCCTTCCCGAGGGCAGGCAACGCCAGGAGCCGCGGGCAGGACAAAGGCATCGCCCACTGAACACTACCAGGTAAGAAAATTCCTTATTTTCTTTACAGAGCTACTAAAAGAGAGCTGAGGAAATATACAGTCGGCAGAATCAGTACAACAAAGGAGCCCATGCGGTCCCTCATCATCCTTCTCCTCCTCGGTAAAATGCGCCCTTTCCCAGGAAAAAACAAACTCTGTTGGTCTGCCCACAGTTCCTTACACCTGCAGAAAGCTGCTCACTGTACAAAAGAGTTGAGGAAAAGGAGAGAAAACAATACAGAAAAAAAAAATTAAGAAAAAGAAAAAAAAAAGAAAAATCCATGTATTATAAGCAAGAAAAGAGGGAGGAAGAAGGGTTTAGATGCTATTGCCATTCAGAAAGGAAACCTGCCAAATGGAAAAGAAATGTCAGAGTCACACAAACAAGGCTTCCGGAGGGTTTCAGGAAATATCCATATAAAAATTAACAGCAAGTTCAGCATCTTTGCTATAAAAAATTCTTTTTTTTTCTCACGTTTGTTAGAAAAGGATCACAACTAAAAACCTTAAATTAAAATACAAATGTTTAGGGTAGTTGCCCAGTGGCTAAAGTGTTGGCTTTCTGAAAAACTTCCCAACCTGTTGCCTGACAAGTCCTCGAGTTTCAACCTAGATCCTTTTCCAAAAGCACCTTTGACGTTCCAATTCCCAAATCTGTCCCTAGGGAGCTTCCAATGGCTACTGTTAGAGTATGCATTTATTACATATATTTTTTCTTTTTTCTATAAATGCATCATAAATATTTTTCTCAATAATTCATAGGAATCTGGTTTCTAAGCTTGGAATACATTTGGAATATACATTATACACATATATATATTTATACCTAACAATTTAAGCAATATCTCATGCTAGTTGCTTTTAATAAAAAGCATTCCAGTCTTAAAACCTGCATTTGTGTCTAATACATGCTTTGACAACCAAATTGATAAGTTCAATTACTAGATAATGTAGAAGAGAGAGAAAACATTTGAAAATTGGTTGATAAAAATGGTTGAATTTCAAAGACCCAACAGTATTTGCCACTTTTTTGGCAACTACCTTAATTTTTTTTTTCTTTTTTCCTTTTCTCTGAAACAGCAATGAAAGAAAACAAAACAAATCCAAACTTGTCTACAGTTTTTGGAGACACTCTGTTCAGCTGATGCCTGCTTCCCACCATCATGCCAGCACAAGCCAAAAAGTCTTCCTTCCTGATGGCAGTCCTTGGCTTTCCCAACCAGAGGAAAAATATTCAGGAACTGCTGTGTTCTTTTTTTTTTTTTTTTTGTTGTTTTTTTTTTTTTTTTTTTTTTTTTTTTTTTTTTTTTTTTTTTTTTTTTTTTTTTTTTTTTTTTAAGGCATTGTTCCTCAAACTTCAGAAAATCCAGCTGCACCAAATCCATCAATTAAAAAAAAAAGGCACAAACTCATCTTCAGATGGCTTTGGAGAAAATAAAGCCGACTCCATCTGGGCTACCGTTCCCCCCTTCTGCTTCCCTTTCCTTTAGGTGTCAGATGAGTCCCTCATTCCCTGTCCCTCCCTGTTAAAAATTCACCATCATCTCCCAACGTTCCAGTTCCGACAAGAGCTGTCGTTGACTCACAGGCAGGCAAGAGCCATTTCCAAATATCCAAGAAATGAAAGTACACGATGGGTTGAGTGGTTCAAGCAGAGATTGCTCAGTTGTGGGTAATCAACTTTGTAAGCACCAGTTTTACGTTAAGGTTTGTTTGATTTGTGTTGTTGAATCTTTGATTTCTTTATTATTCTCGTGTTTTGTTTTTCTTTTTTTGTTTGGCAACTCTGCCAAAGACTTCCCGGGCATCGTTCCTCTTTCTGCTCCCGGTGAGGACCAGAGGAAGAGTGCCCAACGTGTCAGTCCTTTGCTGCTCTTCACCAGCGGTTTTTTTCAGCAAAAAGAGACTCAAAGATGTGGAGAGATTTGTTTTTTTGTGTCGCTTGCTTTGTTTTACACCTGGCTGTCCTTCCGTGTTCGGGAAACAACCGTGCCAGGACGCAGGAGTAACAAGAGAAAGCTTCTTGGCAGAGCTTCAAGACGAAGACGAACAGATAGGAAACTCCAGCTCAGAGGTGAGTGCTACAGGGGAGGCTCCTCTTCCATGGGTTCATCCTCAGGTCTGAGCGATTGCGCAGCCAGGCAGGGAGGGACGGGGAGGGGAGAGAGAGAAGAGGGTTTGGCATGACATAGTTGGACAATTTGTGGTGCCAAGTCTCACTCATGTTCCCATCACCTTCCCACCCAGCCAGCTGGGATCACCTGATTTAAACTTGTCACCAAGAAGGGGTTTTGGAGATCCTCTCTTGGGCAACATTAAGATTTTTCCCAGCAAAATAAATTTCTTTTTGTGGTCCAAAACCACACTTGGAACAGAAGGGTCAGGCACAGGTGGCTCTGCTACTCTCCTGCAGCCCAGGAAGTCTTTTGGGAGCCCACAGAAGACAGGGGATGTGGGGAGTGCAGCAGCAGTGGCTGAAATGAGAGGATTAACCTGCAAGGCTGCTCCTCCCTGCTGCACAGACTGGAAATGTGATGGGAAACCACTGACCTCTTCTCCGCCGGCTTCACACCCACCGACAGCGATGCCATGGCTGTCACTGTCTCCGCCTCTTCATTCTCACACTTCTGGGCCTCCACCAGGGAATATCCCACCGTGGAGGCAAAACGCTGGAGGGAATGCCAGTACTTGCCTGGGGGAGAGGTGACAACAGGGCCATCAGGGCACCATTCCAGCTCCTGCTTTCCCAAACCCGGCCGCCAGCTTGGAACTTCCCAGGGAACACTCATCCGATCCATACTCCCACTTTAAGGGCCTTAGGAGCTCAAAAATTAATTCCTTTTTCCAGTTCAAATCTCTCAGAAACTTCTAGACCTAAGGACAAATATGCCTGGAAATGTCTCTACCAAAAAATCCAGGAGAAGGAAGGATGCGGTCCGGGTCTGGATCCAGCTGCTGACTGCCACATACTGAAGACTAAAGAAGTCCAAAATGCATTTAGAACCATTAAATTTGGAAAAGACCTCCAAGATCACCAAGTCCAAGCTTCAACCTCCAAAGTATCTTTTATGTCGGCAGTCTGACACCCTTTGGAATTGGGAAGAGCACCAGGAAGGCTCCAGGAGAATTTCCAATAATTTCTCCAGGCAAGGTTCAATGCAATGATTTTGAACTGCTTAGTTAAATAAACCTAAAATATCAACAACTGCCAGCAAAACTCACAGAATATCCTTGAAAAGAATCACCCCTTGGGAGGGATAATCAAATCCAACTCCCAACCCTGCACAGGATATCCCAAGAATCCCAGCCTGTGCCTGAGAGCCTGCTTCACTTCCATGCCTATCTACTCCTAATTAATGGGTGCCACAACACCCAACAAGACTTGTGTTATTCAGAGATACTTAATTGCTTATGAAGAAGTAAGAGCACCCTCTAAGGGCAGGACAGTCTGTCCTTTACAGACATTTTGGAGCTTTTAATTACTGTTGGCTTAACAGCTAGACTGGATCCTCCTGAAGGTATTTTCCTAACTAACTCGTGCTCTGATTCTGTAATTACCCCTAAAGCCTTGCTGGGAATGGTTCCATCCACAGTAACACCAGTTTGTGGCTGCACAAATCCAGCTCAGGGTGCAGTGACCACCAGTAAACTGGGAAATGGGAGCCTGGAGCTGGCAGAATGGTGGGGAAGCCCAAGAGGTGTCCCCCAGGGAGCCAGCTGGGTCAGTGGGGTTGCACTCACTGTGGATCTCAATGACTTTCTCCATGGAATGCACCGCGTTAGCGTTTGCCCTCTGCTGGAACACTTTCTCTGGAAGAGGGTCAAGCTGGAGAGAGAGAAAGGAACACCAAAGGAATGTTACCATTGAATCCCAGAATGGTTTGGGTGGGAAGGGACATTAAAACTCATCCCACTCCACGCCTGCCATGGGCAGGGACAACTCCCACTAGTCATTCTACAGTGGGAACATGCCTGTGCCATCCCAAAGAAAGGCCTGACAAGCACTTCTGGAGGAATGTTTTAGGATTTCTTTGATTTCCTTTAGATAAACTCAAGAAGAGGAGACACCTCTGCCCTCCCAGGTTCTCCACTAATGAATGAATTCTCCACTAATGAATGAATCCCAAACTTCCAAGGAGGGCTGTCCAAAACAAGAGACGTCCACTGCTGTTAGCTGTGCTGAAAGCAGCCCAACCACAGTTGTTCCCTAGCAAAGAACAGCCAAAGTTTAATAGTTAAAAATATCTATGGCAAAGTTTAACTTCGCTCAAAACCAAGAGAAGCTGCAGCCAAGACTGCTCTTATGAGCACATGGTAGCCATTCCATAGGTACTTCATGGGATGCTGCATTCCAGATTCAGTAATTATGGATTGCACTTTTTATTAATTCTCCACTCTAAAAATAGTTCTGCTCCAAACTGGTTTCTGTATGACATTAAGGGAAGGCAAAAGCAATTCCTGGATAAGTCTTTGAACAAGAGCTTTCCAAGGCCTTTTGGTTGACACTGAGACAAAGCATGTTCCTGATTCCAGAGCTCACTCCTCCTCTTGAAATAACACAAACAGCCTCAGCCTGTGGAAGAGGGAGCAAAAAAACTCTGGGCATGAGGCACCTGGTTATCACCTTCTTGTTTGAAGCACAGAGGCTGGTGATGCCCACGATGGACTGAGCAGCTCTACGGAGTAAGGGGAGAGGAACGGCGGCTAGCTCTGGACTGCCATCAGCAGACCTCAAAATCATGGAATCACAGAATGCTGGGGGGTGAAGGGATCTTAAAACTCATCTCATCTTACACCCTGCCATGGGCAGGAACACCTTCTACTATCCCAGGTTGCTCCAAGCCCCAGTGTCCAATCTGGCTTTGGGCACTGCCAGGGATCATGGGGCAGCCACAGCTGCTCTGGGCGCCCTGTGCCAGGGCCTGCCCATCCTCCTAGCCAAGAATTTCTTCCCAATATCCCATCTAACCCCACCCCCTGTGGTTAAAATGGATTAAAACCATTCCCCCTTTTCCTGTCCCATCAGAACCCTATCTAAAATTCTTGTACAGCTCTCTTGGAGCCATTTTAGGCACAGGAAGACTTCTCCCTAGAGCCTTCTCCAGGCTGAACAAGCCGAACTCTCTCAGACTGTATCAAAGTCTCTCTCTGATTTCCCACCCCTGATACCCACTGAAGCCCTGTGAGCCCTGCACAGCTGTGCCAGCACAGCAGTGCAGGTCCATTCCCCAGCCCTTACCCCCTCCCCAGTGCAGTACTCAGCTGCACAGCCCCAGCTCTGGTTTCATTTCCTGGCAGGTTGGAAAGGAGCTGGCTCCTGCACTCGCTCCCTGCTTCTCCCGATGCAGGATTTTTGATCTCCGCCGGTGGACGCCGTGCTCAGGGGACTGGCACTATTCCCCTCATTTCCTAAAAGCCCCAGTGGAGCTCCAGGATGGCTCCTGAGCCGGCCCAGCTCCCTGCAGCCTGCCCTGGCCACAGCTGCCTGTCCATGTGTGTGCGGGCAGGATCCTCCGACACACTGTAGATCAAACCACATCAAAGGGCCGCAGCGCAGAGCCACTGCCGCTCCCCTCAACTCCCTTGCCTTCAAAAGGTTTGAGGAAAGACCTGGATAAAGGAGCACTTCCTGCTTTCTGATGTGTGGGTAAGCCAGGAAATATTACCCTATCTGCACAGCCCACCTAGGACAAGTGACAGCAGGTCTCTTTAAGTGTCCTTGTAGCCATGATTAAAATAATCAATGTTTTTTACCTTTAAGGATCAATATTTCCTCTGCTCAATGAAATCACTCAGCCAGCTCACAACATCCAAGGTATCCTGAGTGCTGAGCTCTCCCCACAGGCTCACGCTCCCAAACACACCCATGGCTTGAATCAAGCACTAATTTACTGCTTGTGGTTGCAGTCACTGTGATCCTAGGGGCAAATTGAGCAGGAGGAAGGACATCTTCCAGGTGTTATTCCCACTGCTTCCCTTTCAAAGTGCATCCTGCACCCAAGGGTGGCTGGAGCCAAAGGAATTGTCTGTAGAGACCACTTAGAACATACAGGTGCTGCAACAAACACCTCACAGAATGCCACGAAGGTCTGGCTTACAAGGGACCTTAGAGCTCATCCAGTCCCAACCCCTGCCTGGGAGAGGGACACCTTCCACTATCCCAGGTTGCTCCAAACCTCATCCACCCTGGCCAGGAACACTTCCAGGGATCCAGGGGCAGCCACAGCTGCTCTATGAAACCTGTGCCATTGTCCAACCACTGGAACCCCCCCTGTTTCCATGCTGGTGTGGCAGCTCCCTCCTGAGTTTTCAGCTGTCCCAAGGGCTGAGTGCAGGCTGGAGCCATTCCATGTGCCCAGAGTCTCCTCAGAACTGCCTGGCCAAGCACAAGGAGCAGGTTGCTCCCTGGACTCGGGGAGCTGGGATGCTGAGTGATGAAAGAAGGTGCTTCTGATGAATCCCAGCTGGTTTATCTCCTGGCCTGGCTCCTCCAGCCTCCCACCTAACGCTGAGTGTGGATACTCCAAGACAGAACACTTCTCCAACAGACTGGAAGTCAAACTGCTCCACACCTCCATGCAGATCCAAGCTCCCTCTCCATCTTTCCAGACACATGACGGTCACTGAACTACAACCCTCCCCAGAAACCAGTTCCCACTGGAGACAGACCCACTGCTCGGCTCCTCTGGTGCTGCACCTCAGCCCAAAGTAACCGTACTCAAAAGCCCTCAAACATGGTTTCAAACTGCACCAGAGGAGGTTTAGGTTGGATATGAGGGAAAATTCCCTCACGGGAAGTGTGTTCAGGCGTTCAGTCAGGCTGCCCAGGGCAGTGGTAGAGTCAACACCCCTGCAAGGACTTCAAAGATGTGTAGATGTAGTGTTCCTTCTTTCATCCCACTGACACTAAAAATGGGGGGAAAGGCAGAAAAGATGGAGTATCTAAATTTTTCTCTGGGGAAAATACCCTGAGCTCTTCAGAATCCAACATCTTGCTGTATTTCTCTGTCTGGCTCTTATATTGCAACCACCCCACTAACCTTTCTGGTCAATATTTTCTGACACAGCCAAGGCTTTTCCTATACAGCAATGTGCAGAAAATAGAAAATGTAACTCCTAGGAAAAAACCCAGCTGCAAACCACGTCAAGCAAGCTGCCCCATGTAGCAGGCACAGACTGTAGGACTAGAGAGGGGAGGAAAGACAAGGGAAGACTTGCACAATGAATTCAGAAATTAATTAAAAGAGTTGTTTTTCAAAGAGCACAAAGCAAATTATTTGGAGAAAGAACAAACCCAAAAATCATTCTTAGCTGTTTCACTCATTGCATGAACTGCAAAGCACAGGTGGCTTTTAAGTATAAAATAAACACTCTTTAAAACACCAAGTGTCAGAAGGGCAGAAAACAATGACGGAAACTTGGCAGACGGGAGGATGAGACGCCCCAACCCAAGGCAGGAGTGGGTTTTGGGGGTGCCTGTACCTCGTTTCCCAGCAGGGCAGACACGCAGGCCTCCGAGGCGTCGCAGATGGCAGTGAGGTCGTGGCCACCCTCGAGGGCCAGCACCACGCGGCCCCCGGCCAGGCCCATCAGCTGCTTCGTCAGGTACCCGAAGCCTGCAACGAGGGAACAGAGGAAATGCAGGAGAAGGGCAAAGGTGGCGGCTGGAATCGGGCTCCTGGCAGAGGATCAAAGAATTAGGGAGAGGAATTACATCATATTAAAAACCCAGCGGGGATTTGAAAAGGCTTGGCGCATAACACAAGCCAGGTTGGGCTTTAACGCGCTCGCCACGCGATTCCAGCTGCGGCGTCCCTGGGATGGATCCGTGTGTCCCCACCAGCACCACCCCAGCTGGGAGCATCACCATCCCCCCCCTGCCGCCACTCAGCACCCCAAATTAAAGCCAGCAGCCAACATCCCCTTTGGGAGCAGGGAAAGGGGTGGATTTGTGCTGGATGTTGCTTTGGCAGAGGGAGGAGGAAGGGGAATCGGCCCAGTTTAGGTCGGGATAGCAGCAGTGCAGTGCCCCAGAGAGATTTAGGTTTGACATCTCGTTCTCAGCAGACAGCTCTTCCCGTCCATAATATGCTATAAAAATTCCAGGGGCACCCGGCACTTTGATCAGATGACACACAATACATTTCTGCCCCTTTTAAACAAAACAGAACCAAGCGGCGAGGATTTAAAAAATGTGTCCTCAAAGCAACCTTCCCCCTTCCAGGACGAAAAAAAAAAAAAAAAAATCAAAAAGCCAAACAAAGGAAAAGCCAGGGAATTTCTACCGTGCCCCCCCACTGCCTGCCTTCTGCTTTGGAGCAAACCCCTTTGCGAGTCGGCAAATTAACAGGCAAAGAAAACCATCCACTGCAGAGCCCATAACTGGTTTTGTGAGAGCAGCAGAGCAAATTCAACCAGCAGGTAAACAAGACCTTTCCTTTCCAAAATGTTTCTGCATATCTCAAGGAACTTGCCTCTTGTAAACCTATTTCACTTTATTCTTATATAAAGTTTACAGGTTCAGCTCCCTTATGAGGTTTTAAAGTTCGCTGTAGAGAACAACTTTCCTGGCTGGAACAAACTCTTAAAAAAGAATAGTAAAACCCTTTTTGCAAGAAAAACTGTCCTCTGGATTAATTTGAAGGAAACAGTGCCAGGTAAACTCCACATAACCTGGCAATGGGGGCGGGGAGGGGGGCAGAGTTTCAGTGCATCTCCCAGAAACATCCCAGACCTGAAGCAAAAAAGAGGGTTTGTAGGTGTCTGTAGTTAATTCAAAGGTGGAGAGCAAAAGTATTCAACTCAAAAATTTAATAAGGCATCCTGGAGGAAGAAATGGATTTGTGGTAGCAGAGTATTTATAGGTGGTATGGCCTTTTTCTGCAATTTTATATTAATGTCAGTATAACTCTCTAATTCACCAGAGATGTGACTACAAATAAATTACACAATACTACATATTGAATATTTCAAAGTTTAAATATGCAATGTTTCAAAAAAAAGCCAAAATTAAGGCTTCAGCTAGGCCAAAATATGCATTATGAGAAGATAAATGCCATGAAAATTCAAAGAAGAAGGATGGACATTTTGCCATTGAAATGAAATATCTGAAATAGAGCCCACACAGAAAAATCTGAGAACCTGCCCTTTAATCCATAGGACAGCAGCAGAAGTAAAGCCCCCACTTACATTTTGCTGACAGATTATATCCTCCCAGGGGTGTGGGGTGCCCTTCCACAGCATCGAAACCAGATGACACCAGCACAACGTCTGGGGCAAACTCATTGGCAATGGGCATCACTACTGTCCTGTAACACAGAATATCCACAGCACACACGTTAGGGTGGCTCCTGAGCAATGGCAGGGGTGCTTAAACCCTCTCACCAAACCCTTATTCCATGGCAGCAAAGCCCACCTATTTCCCTACAAGGTGAGAGCCTGGTTGGAAGAACTCCTTGCACTCCCTGGGATTTCCTCCACCTCTTGTTTTGAGCAGGGAAATGAGTTGTCAACTCTTGTGTTTTCCATTTGGGATCACATCCTGATTTACATACATGGGAATAAGGGTAAAATAAGAGGGCACCTGGCACAGGCTGCGAAACTACCTGGGAAACTTCACCCCAAGGCATTATCCCCAAGTCCTCCCTCCAAACATCTCCTCTAGGCTTTGCAATGCGATTCCTTCCTCCCTTGCTGCACTTCTCATTTCCCACAGCCAAAGGCTGGGAGTGTCCCATGGGGACAGAACAGCTTTAGAATGCAAAGAGCCCTCCCAAATCCAACTCTCCCAATGCCAGTTCCCCAACCTCTTACATTTTGTTCACTAAAAAATGGATGGAATTGTTCAGCATCCCCATCCTATTGATTGCTGAAGTTGTATTTAAATGAAACAAGGGGTCTCTTCCTGTGGTTTCTCACCAAAAGACTGTTTTTCCTCTGGTTTTTCTCTCTCAAAACTCCACAATTTCTCCTCAAAACCTACATGAGGTTGCAAGCATCCCATTCCCCACATCAAGACACACTTCCCAAATTATGTTTTTTCCATTGTAACACCTACTGAATTCTGGATGTATCCCTAGGGGAACATGACCTGTAATTCTCCTATTTCCCCATCCTAGGAACAGCCACCAGTCAGGATAACTTTCTACAGCAGGAACTGAAGTTATTTTACCCACATCCCAAAGCATGAAGCTGTAAATCTTTGCACACATGAGAGCCTCACACTTTATTGAGCCGAGTCTTTATGTGATGCTCTAAAAACAGAGCCCGGGGGGGTCTGTTCTGTGCTGAGATGGCTCTAGTGCTATCAGAACGCTCATAAAAGCTCCCAGGTTTTACCACAAGGATATTAAACAGCCACGAGTCATCTGCCAGAGTCAGCAGCTCGTGACATCCAGCTGAGCTTGTGTCCCTCCACAGGCCAGGGCATCAGCCTCTGCCAGGCACTGAGCAAACCCATCTCCAAGCCTCCAGTGCCACCACGGAGCAGGGACAGGCACCCAGACACACAAAAAAAACCCCACACGCCTCCCAGCTTTAATTTTTTTCCCAACTATTTGCCACAGCAGCCCCAGAGCCTCCTGCAATATCGATGATTTCCGTGTGCAGACACAGAGGCCTCTGTGAGAAAAAAAAGATGTAATTTTCTCTTAATATGCACAAAATCCCAACAAGGAATTTGAATTTTCTCCTCTAACAACGTGATTGCCCCTCTTCATTTTGTGTTTGGGGGATGATTCCGTGAGGAAGACAAGAGCACA